GGGGCAGTCGTAAATTGGGCGGGTGACGCGAGTGGAAGGAAGTTGCGTGTCGCCCCACCGCCGCAGAAGTGGCCGGCGCCGTTGTCGCACGAGCGAATCCCCGCGGCGGCAGCGGAGGAGGGTCCAAGGCCGCCTTCGGGCCGCGTCGCCCTTCGCAGAGCCGCTGCCTATCTCGGCGTCGGAGGCAACGAGGCGCTGCCAAATCGCAGGCGGAGACCCGCTCGCATTCCTCATTTATCTCAGCCAGCGAAAAGCGTTCTTTCGTTGCTTACTTACATTGTACCGCACGTCTTTAAAACGGTCGTTCGGTTTCGTAAAAGCGTAAACGCAAATCGCGAGTCGAAAATTGGACGCAAGTTTAAGAAATAGGAGAAATATAAAAGGAATGTATACAAAATATGAATAAGTGAATATCTATCTCGGATCTCCTCGGAAATGTTTTATTTTTGGATATTTTCTAACTTTCTTTTTTTTATCTTATGATATTTACTAAGAACCATTTTTACTGGGTTTTAATACCAGCATTAGAAAAGTGAAAATTATAATTCATATTCTCTTTTGAAATTTACTAAAATTGCACTTTGTAATATAATATGCAAATTAGTTCAATTAACAAAAGATTATCTGGTCAAACTACCGAAAAACATTAAGATCTTAAAATTATATTTCATTTCAAATAAATTATCATTAGTAATACCTAATAATAATGCATTTTTATAATTCCAATTTTCGTGTTCATCATATTCGTAGAATTGAAATTTAATAATCGTCACATCAAAGAAAATACGATGTGTAATAGAGTACATTTAGAGTTATTTTGGAGACATTAAGAGTGAAATTATCATGTATCGGAGGGGGAAAACACTGTTCGTGCGTCGAAAAGCAAAACGTGTGCACTTTCAATGTAAAATGAACCATCATTGTCTTCATCTTTCCTTTCCAAAATTCACAAGATAGTCATGCAAACTAATTTATCTACATTCATAAGAAAGGAAACATTTTCGTAATTTTATGGCCTTTTCACATTTTGCAAATAAAACGCCTATGACTCAATTTTAAAACTGTGTACTTAATTTACCATGTCTTCAAATACGTTTCTTTGGTGCTCAAGAAAAATTATTAACTTAAAATCGTCATTTTTAGTGAAGTGAAGAAATATGATTTTAAAATAGCAAAAACATAATTTTTCTTGTAACATTTTCGTAAATATAAATCACACAACAGCCGATGTACAGATTAAACACTTTGTATTCGGTATCTATGGAGTAAAATTGTCGTAAAATACATGGATGGCTCTGCTCAGGATTAAACAGTTCTCCTCGAAAATATTGATTTTCATATTAAGCGCGCGAATAGGCCTGGAGTCAGCAAGAAACACCACGTTTGATAATCTCAAAGGTAAAACATTTTGATAAGTTGGCCACTGTTATGAGGAAGAGGGAAACACAAGTACGACGGCCTGTGGTGTCGGCGTTGTTCTACACAATTTTTTGAAAGTGTCGAAAAAAACAATGCCATTGGGGGCACATTTTAACGTTTTATACCCATTTTATTACTTTTCCTATATCTTGTTTTTCATGAAGTTTCCAGTTTTATTCCCAAATATTTTTGATCCCTATTAGTATAATTAAGCAACATAACAACAGTTTGGAGATTAAACAGATGCTCCCACATAAGTAGCAAACAGCTGCGACCACTCTGCGCTCACGGACACGATGGCAACGAGCGAGCGCTGTGCGCGCAAAATTAGTTCGGCAGTGAATGGGAAAGTGGCAATGTTACATTTTGCAATTGTTCATTTTTGTCCCATTAAACCGTCACAACACACACCACCCCAGAGCGTGGTACTAAAGAACAAAAGCAGAGGGGAAATGTCCACGATTCAAATGATGCGGACGCAACGCCGAGGTCGAGAAAGGTTTTGAAACTCGCTGTTCCGGCTGTTCGTCCTCTTTGCAACATTTCCCCGTGACCCGGAGTTGCCGCCTCACGATCGGAAGACGAGAGAGCGCTCGTCGCATGCAAAAGTGTCTCAAGTGACAAATTGACTTAATTTGAGTTGGGACGTTTTTCACACTCCAAACAAAAATTATAATATAGGTGACACAAAAGTAGTTCAACAGAGACCCGCTATATAGCGTGCTCACAAAGCGAGTGACGTAGAGAGAGCTGTTAAGCTACTCTTTTCAAACGAAAATTTCTCAAAATTATTATAACCTAAAATGTGAAAGTATTGCATACTGTGAACGAGTGCTCGTATTTAAACGTTCCTGCTAATTTCCCGACAGCGACAGCGTCGACTTTATACAGTGGTCTGTACGAGTATATCGCGACTTACAGCAACAACCCTTCCCGCCGTGAGTCAACGCGTCCCACATCTCATCCTCCTCGGCCCTGGCCCGTGGCGGTGCCTATGGGGGCATGCTCCATTTCCAAAGCCAACTTTTTTCTATATTTCTTAATTATATTTTCTTAGTTTATTGAAAACAATGATCACCATTTGACCGCATCACATCGAAAGTAGTTTTTCCATTGTGAATTCATTTTTTCCAAGCTAGCAAATAAAAAGTATTTATCAAATATTTATACAAGGAGGAGGGCACCTAAATGAAATTATCCAACTTCGCATAGCCTCTGTTTTCACCTTTTCCTGTCCCCACATGTCCTCACTTCCCAGAAGACTTGACATTCTCTCGCGCATGATATAGTCATCAAAGTAGGTTCATTTCTCAAAATAGGATCTCTTGGGAAAGGTGGGTTTAGTTGAAACAGTTTAGTAGCATTCGAAAATATTACATTGCGTAATGGCATGCGCTACTACTGCGATCGCGTGCAAAGTTGCGATGGCAGTGCCATACAGGATGACACATACGAGTATGTCGAGGATACAAATTGATTGACACATATGTCCGGATAAAAATTGATCAATAATTTTGTCTTCGAACTGGAAATGAAAACAAATTTCTTGACGTGTGTATCATGGTCGTTTATCAATTCATCAAAGTTTGTCGTTGTTCCTAGAATTCCAGTGTATATATTATTTCTATTTCCACCGCGGTGAGTGCGACAATGATTCATATAACTTTTTGAGGACTATCTCTTTCCTATAGCGTCTTTTATTATCTAGGAGGAAATGATAGTCTCTAACACTGCAAAACAACGCGTGGTAGGTGTGCCTTAACCTGTTTGCGGGGAAGTCCCAGGAGGAAAGCGAACTTGAATGCATAGCGGTTCGTACGTTGTAATAGAGGGAAAGCCAGGCCGACCTTCCTGATTCTTTAAAAGGATTTGCGTTCAACTATCCCACACGGTCTTTTTGGCAAACTACAAAGTAAGAAAGTTGTTCAATGGTGTCTCTACTGCTTTAACTCTTCACAAGATGGAAATCCAATATTATTAATCAAATCAAATCTATGGATTACCTACGAAATTGTTTGTACTACGAGTATTACCATGAAAATTCTTTAGAAAAATGATAAATGTTGCTAAAAATGTTTTCTCCTGTAATATGAACTAAGGAAACTATGACAATGTCATCAAGTAAACGAAATTTTATTGATAAATTATACATTTAATCTATACGGAGAAAAGTAAATATTCACGAATTATTATAAAAATTAAGACATCAAATAAATTGATTTTTTCTATTTCATTACCAATTGCAACAAACCTTTCTAATGTAAAAGTCAAATAATGCCTTAGTTGATTTATGCGACAGAATGGCATTGGTAGAATTGTCATTCCATATTAAATTTATACAAATATATATGAAATTTTTCCATATACATGATAGTTTGCAGATACCGTTTATTTAGTTGTCGGTTTTTGTTATGCCACTTTATGAAACAAAATAGTCTTAATTCTCCTTCTAACTTTAAATATCTTCATTGAATTTTTTATATTGCTCCCTTTTAGGGAACGTGTTTTGTCTTCCCGTATCGTTAATGTATTCTGCGTCAGGGAGTTTCTAAATTATTGGTACAAAATAGATTTGGGCCTGAAATTCCCCAAAAAGCTTTCAGTTGGTAAAATTGGTTTATGTCAATTTTATTTCGAAATCTTATCACCCAATTCCAAACTATCTTTTAGAAAGATAGTTTTTAATTATTCATTTGTTCTATGCTCAGAAGCAAAAGATTCTAGAAGGGGTTTCAAATTATTTATCTAATTATTATTTCCTTTCTAATGCACTGGTATGAAGAATTAACCAAAGTACTGTCTGGTGTTACTGAAATAAATGTACTTTTAGAAAATCATTCTTTCTGTGACGCTTAGCTCCTAAATCGCATGGAAGCATTACTAAACTAATGAATGTACAATATTTTAAAATATAAATTTAGTAGTGAAGTTTTTAAGATATAAATTACTCACAAATGCATTACAATTGTAAATGCAATTGCTGACACGTGCATTAATTGACAAAATACCTTAAGTAAAAAATAATTTGAATTACATTGTCGCTTCAACGTACGTTTTGACCATAACCTTTTAACAATTGCAGAATTTATTAAAATTATAATCAATGTTTTCAACCTTTTGCGAGTTCACGTTTGTGATATCGGTTTGTCGGTATTTCAGTTGAAGTAATAGTTTTTACAGATTTTAAACTCGGCAATGTTTTTACACTCTTTGTCCTAGTTCTAGTTTTAAACAGATCGATAAAATGGTTCGAAAAAGGAAAAAAAAATGTTTATACGAAACGGTTAAAATATGGTCGAATAATAAACCATTATAATTTAAAGAATGTGTACGAGGCACTAAAGAATCTTTGGGACGTCTTGATCAATGTCAATAGATCAAAACCACTTTACTACCCACAAACACATCAACCATCATTCCGATGAAAACAAACAGATCACTTTTATTGACACAGCAAAGAAGTGGGAAGAAATTGTATCGTCAGCTTCAATGCTAACATCCCGGAAATCGTACAGAAGTTTTTACGACGCGCGTTGCTATAAGAAGCCTAAAAGCAATCCTTTCGAGCGGCGGCAACTCACAGCAGACGAAGAGCGCATTGGCCAGCAGGAAGGCATCGTCCACGCTGAGCGCCAGTTCCTTGAGGGCCGCCTCCAGCGCGGTCGCGTTGGCGCCCGCCCGCGCCGTCTCGTTGGCGTCCATGGCTGGCGTTGCAGTCGCAGTGCCGCGCCGCACGGGGCTGGGAGCTGCTCAGGAGCTGCGAGCGAGCGCGGCGGCGGAAAGCGCGGCGAATACTGACCGCCCGACCGCCAGGTAATCCGCCGCGACCCCCTCCGCCTCCGCCGCCGCCACCGCCTCCGCCGCCGCCGCTGCCCTCGCAGGCGAAGATAGCCTTCGCGGCGCCCTCGTTACGGAACAGAAACATTTCTGCGACACCTCTCACGGGACATACACGTGCTTCGGCGTGGAAGAGCTCCCAGGAGAAGCCGCGTACAATGAACGTCCACCGCACCATCGTTTTATGCCACAGGTCCCCAAAGATGTAGTCATTTTTAGTTAAGTGAATAAACATGTTTAGAAAATAGCCTACTTTACAAATAAAATTGTATAAAGGTAGTGAAAGAAGATCTATAGAGAGAAATCATGTCCCATTAACCGTGAAATAAAGGGCTCCGCGTAGATTCAAATCATTCTTCTGCAAAATGAGCGTTTTTTTTATGTCGCATTTTGTGCACCGTCGATGAATCAATATATGTATTAAAAGTTTATCACTGCTAAGAGGACAGTTACGAGAAAAAATGTTTGATTTTATTAACAAATAGTTCATCCTGATTCGTCTACTGAAAAAATATTTATTAATTTAAATTATGTGAAGATGTGGAGAAAAAATTAGCTTTAAAGTGGTGTTATGAAAGTGATCTTATTTTGTTGGTGTTTAACTTCACGTGGAAGTGGCCATACCTTCTCCCTCGCCTCCCAGTTCGCTCCTCCATGTGCGACTTCACGCGCAGAGAATCCCCTTCGACGTTGACTGACGCTGAAAGCCCTTCGCCTTTCAGTGTCATTACGGAAGCATAATACAAAAAGGTGTTTCTCAAACTTAGCAGCTCGGGTATGACTGGCGGTGATCATTTACACCAGTTACAGGGTTTGTTAAGTGGCATGGGAACTTTACTGAGTCCGAATTTCATTTAACCTTTTGAGATCTCTACAAGGTTTACGAAAAGGGTGTTGGTTAGCCCCGACTTAGATGAAAATATATTTATATGAATACCTGAGAGGATGGAAAAAGAAATGAAGTAATATGGGTATTCAAATTGGCGAATGTTATTATCTTTACACTTCGCATATATCAGGTGATATACGCTGAAGAGGAACACTATGCTATATACATGGAAATTATATGAAGAGTACTCGAAATGGGGATTTGAAGTAAACCTTAACAAGACTGCGTATATGGTTGTAGGAGGATGTGCTAAACTGGATGATAGTTCGGAAGTAAAACCCTGTCAAATATTCAAATACCTTGGTACATAAATAAGTGCAAATGGAGGCAGTACATAAGATATTAAAAACAGAATTGCAAAAGAAAGAGTAGCTATAAGGCAAGGACATCTACTGATACATATTCATAAATTTGTTTGTACTATGGTAAATTGCAATTGTCCAGTGAAGTTAAGTACCTAGACATTGATTGAAATTTAAAATGGAAAAGCCATTTTTCTTATCTTGTAAACAAACTTCGAAATTTAATTTACATATTCTAAAAATTACAACACATATTTACGACCAAACAGTTGCTGATAATATATTATGCTTTATTCTGGTATGTAGCTTCCTACGGAATTATGATGTGGTGGGGCATAAGTGATGCAACTTTGAACACTTTAAACAGAGAAAAAAGTCACCAATTAATTTCCATCAAAATTCTTTTATTACCTTCCAGAACAATTACATAAATAACACAATATTTTTTAATTCATTTCTTCCTGGAAAAATTCTTACTCGAAAACTATGACTTTTTAAAGATTATATCAACATTTGAAAACCCGAATAGATGTGACCTTCGCAGATCACCCTCCAAATCAATAAAGAAATTGGAAGATGTACACATTGTTAAATTTTAAATTTTGTAATATTTTACCACAAGAACTTAAGAAATGCAATTTAATCAAAATTATAAATAAGGAAAAATTGAGAAAGTAGATCATTAATCCCACACTATTTATTCCTTGTATTACTCTATGCAATAGTTTCATAGAAATGTTTTACAAGCTACTTCTTAGTCTATTATTATTATTACTATTATTATTATTATTATTATTATTATTGATCTTTGTGTCATAAAATATATTTAACAATTTTACATTCTGCATTTATATGTATGTATCTATTACCACTCTGTAAATTAATATGGTGTTGTGTCTTTATGATCTAAATTTAATTTAGTTCAATGATTATACTTTATGTTCAAGTTTGTTAAATTATAACACTTTCTGTCAATACGTTGTAATTAATTGTTGTGTTGTATAGTCAGCTTTATGTTCTGTCCATTTATACATTATTAGTTCAAATTATGTTTAATTTAAAACTTTCAGTTTTATTTGCAAGATATTACGCAGGTCCGCACACAGGCTAAGCCTTTGCGAAAATTACTTGAGAGGAGTAATATGTCTCCCCGGGTTTATGCCCTCTCATTTATTTTGTGTTATCACAACCTGTATAATAATAAATAAAAATAACAAAAAGTGACAATTTTATAAGACAGTTGTAGATAATATTGCCTTTTATGGATTTGAGTAATGTGAAGTACAAAAAAGAGAGAAAACAATGCCAGTAACGGTGATGGACTTCGGGAGCCGATGTTACGGACTTACTTTAATGGATAAAGTTAAGATCGAAGAAATTAAACAAAAGAGGAAGTAGGTTTTAATATAATTGACACCATAGAAGTAAAAATACTAAAATGTATGGGCACATACAAAGAATGAACTAAGAACGTTGGCCGAAATTATTGTGGAAATGACGACCAGCTACCTCTCCAAGAAGAGGAAGACATGGACTTGCATGGGGAGGAGAAGAAGCAATGGTGAAAAGACGATTGAGAAATGAAGACTACACCGATAGACGGATATGGAGGCTGGGATGCCAGATACACCCTAGGGTGTAGTATAACTCACTATAACACTATTAGATCTCAACAAGAACCACAAGGAAGCTTGATTGTTATCTAAAAGAAACACAAATATTAATCTAGAAGAGAAAAATCATTCTGGGTAACGCAACAGACAATAGTGTCTTCTATCGATACCGAACTCCTTATTTCCAACAAAACGACTATATTTGCATTACATATCTTAACAAGTAATGAAGGGTACATGAAATGATGCGTACTGCTGAGTATAAACTGCGTATTGCATACATTACTGCGAACAACAATAACGAGTTGTGAATACTAACATTGTCTGAGGAAGTGGTTACATGTAAAAATAACGACGAGAAGAAAGCTTCGGTGAATAGCTCGGCAGAACTGGAGACTTGAATGAGCGAAGTTTCTCGTCGAACCTGTTGGCGGGGAAGCACTAGTGGCGGCGTCTTCCGCGGTGACGTGGCCCCGATCGCTGCAAGCGAGGCCTTGGAGCATCTCACAGCGCGCCCGGGGTCTTCCTGCGCGTTGGCCGAGGTCAGCGTTCGGGCTACCGCGCCCTCACGTACGACCCCGCCCACTACTGACCCTCCCCCCAGTGCCGCCAACCGCCCCCACCGTCTCTCACCACCCCCAACGCGCCCCATCGCCACTCAAAGCCATCCAACGCCATTCTCCTACTGCCGCCATCTGCCATGCACAGCCGCCCACTCCACCACAACGACTTTCCATCACCATCCTTAGGGCACCAGTCGCCGACCAACACCATTCGCCACAGCTCACCACGGAATATCATCGCCCATCATCCTCCACCGCTCCCCCCCCCCGGCCTACGCCGCCCACC